ATGGAATCATTCATTGGTAATGATATTTGATAAAAATACAAAGATATTTTTACATATTTGATAATTAATAAAATGAACTAAACTAAATATATTGAAGGAAATAAAATTGACATGTTACTAGAAAATAATGTTGATAAAATCGATCAGCAAGATGATTATGGCAATAAAGTTGCCTATTATATTAAAAATTAAGTTAATATCTGGATAAATATCAATCTACATTGATTATCAAGAGAAACTAAATTGACATCAAGATCTACAAAATGATCTGCAAAGACATAAAATTGACATCAGGATTATCAGCCAAGATTATAACATAATAACTTAATATTTGGTTTATTGATCATTCATTTGGACAGCATTCACATGAAATAATAATTCATGAAATTTATCAAGTTACTAGTATATCAATGAATTTAAGAAAAATTACAAATCATTTTTTATGACGTATCTCAATTCAAATTCTTACCTAATTAAATGTTTTTGCAGATTATATTATGCTATTTTTAGAATATCAATCTTTTAGTAGAGTAGTATCATATTAAACATTTACTCCTGAAATTATGCATAAACAGTTTCTTTGATTATTCTGGATAATAATTCTTTTGAAGATTTCAGTAATAACAAAAAAATGAATTTAGGACTCCTTTAGCTCTTTTACTTATGAATTATAAGTTTAATTTCACTTACAAAAGAAGCGTAATGCTAATTTAAAATCACATGATTAGTCTAGATCTTTTACTAGTCAAAATTATTTTTTTTAACACTAATACTTTTCAGTAAATATTTAGTTAATTCAGTTATATGATTTGGTAAAAATTCAGCTCAAGTTACAAAAATCGATAATAATTTGTTTTACTATACATAATTTAACATTATTTCAGTTCTAATATCTTTTGATAAATATTCAGCCAATTTGGTCATATAATTCAGAAAATATTTACAAAATAGATAGTAATTTATTACATCACACATAATTTAGTATTATTTTAGCAATAAGACCTTTCGGTTATAATATTTGACAAAATTTTAGTTAGATTTAAGATTTGGTAATAAATCAACTGTATCTTACTAGTTGAAATCTATTTAACTAATTTTTGCAAAATTAAAAAATATTTTCCTAAAGAAACGATAAAAATTATCTCAAAAGAAATGAACTATCATTCCCAAAAAAATAATAGAAATCATCTTAAAAGGAAAAATACAATTATTCCTAAAGAGATAATAGAATTATCCTAAAAGAAATGATAGAAATATTCCTAAAAGAAACAATACATTCATCCCTAAAAAGATGATAGGATCATCCTAAAAGTGACTATAGAAATTATCCTAAAAGGAACAATACATTTATCCCTAAAAAGACAATAAAAATTATCACAAAAGGAATAATACAATTATTCCTAAAGAGATGATAGAAATCATTCCAAAAGGAATGATATATTTATCTTCAAAGGAACAATAGAAATTATTCTTAAAGAAATGAACAATTATTTTCAAAGAAACAATAGAAATTGTTTTTAAAGGAACGAACAATCATTCTCAAAGAGACGATAGAAATTATCCCTAAAAAAATAATACATCATCATTCTGAAGAATGATTTTTTTATCATTCTTTTCATTATCATTCTGAAAGAATGATTATTTATTATTCCTAAGAAATGATTCATTATCATTCCAAAAAGAATATTTTTTATAGTTCTTTTGAAACAATATCATTATCATTCTGTAAAAATGATATTTTTTATTATTCTTTTGAAATGATATATCATCATTCTGAAAAATGATTATTATTTTATTATTCTTTCAGAACGATACACCATTATTCTGAAAGAACAATTTTGATATCATTTATAAAGAACGATTAAACTATCATTCTAAAAGAATATTTTTTATTATTATTCCTTTCAAACAATTTTGTCATCATTCATAAGAAATGTTTGAATTATTATTCCTTTTAAACAATTTTCTATATCATTCTTAGAAATGATTAAATTATCATTCCATTTGAATGATTTTATCATTATTCATAAGGAATAATCAAAATATCATTCCTAAGAATAATTTTGTCATGATTATAAAGAATAATTAAATTATCATTCCTTTTGAACGATTTTCTATATTGTTCATAAGGATGATCAAAATTATTATTTTTTTTGAATGATTTCTATATCATTCTTAGAAATGATCAAATAATCATTCCTTTTGAACATTTTTGTCATCATTCATAAAGAATAATCAAATTATCATTTCTTTTGAATGATTTTTTATATCATTTTTAGGAATGATCAAATTATCATTCCTTTCAAACAATTTTCTATATCGTTTCTAAGAATGATCAAAATATCATTCCTTTTATGAATTTGTCATTGTTCATAAGAATTATCATTCTTTTTGAATGATTTTCTAATTGTTTTTAAAGAATGTTATTCCTTTAGAATAATTTTATTATTATTTATAAGAAATATCAAACTACCATTTTTTTTGAATAATTCTGTTATCATTCTAATCAGATAATACAAAATTATCAATTAAGAATATTTATGATAAATTGTTTTTAATGAGTGATAGATAAATCAAAATTTTAGTTTAGTTTATAGTATAAAACTTATAAACTTAGATTTTTCTGAAAAATTTTTTTAACTTTTTTCCTTTTCCTTATTTTTTTTTTAAAGTAAAAAGTAATTTTTTGGTGGATTTTATAAAAAAGTTTTCATTTGAAATTAAGATAATCATTCAGTGATGATTTTTGTATGGATTTTTTTAATTAAGATAAGCAAATCAAAAGTGATTTTTGGGGTATTATCCTTTCTTTTTTCTTGTTTTAGTAAATTCTAATTTTAAAATTAAGGTAAGCAAATTGGAATTGATTTTTTAGGTATTTTCTTTTTTTTTCTTATTTTTAGAAAAATTCTTATTTTTGAAATTAAGGTAAGTAAACTGAAAGTGACTTTTAAATAGTTTTAATTTTTTATTTTTATTTTTGTTTTTTTAGGAAAATTCTTTTTTCAAAATTAAAGGTAAGCCTTTTGAAAATAATTATTGAATGGTTTTTAACTTATTTTTTTATTTTATTTTTTTTTTTTTAGAAATACATTACAGCTAATTTTATAATTCATGAACTATTAATAATTTTTCAGTCACATTCAGTTGTAATATTTTATAGTAATTTTATTATAAATATTTTCAGTCCCCAACTTTGGTGTTTTTTATTTGATCACCTTAGAATTTCGGAGAAAGTTCGGATGACATTTAATTTATTTTACGCTTTTACAGAACAGCGTTTGGAGTCTGCTAACACTTTTTTTTTTTTTTAAATAAAAAGGATAATAATAATAAAATCAAATTATTGTAAACAAAAAAGACATAACGATATGGAGATAAACGTACAAAGCTTTTGATAGTAATTGGGCTAGTGTTTTTAAATTCCTACCATCCCTCCTGGCATACATACTAACTTGCCCAAGCGTATCTTTGATAAACAAAATCAAATGACGAGGAAACCCTTTTGTACACCAACTCTAAAACGCTACATTAAAGTACCTTTCTCCTTCAGAGAACCGGTGAAATATCCATTCCAATGAATGTGATCGTTGGAATAAGTCTTTGCCTTGTCTGATAACCAATAACCGGGCTCGCAGCTGAAACAACGAATGGATGAATTAAATTTAAAGAAACTAAACGTATAAATAAATATATATTTATATTTATATTTTAAATACTAAAAATCAAGTCTTAATTAATCTATTTTTCAATCGATGTAGAAAATGCCACCCCAAACTATTTTAACATAGCACATTTGCTTTGATCTTCGATTGTTATTTTAGGGTCAAAAGTGCTGTGAAATCTTTATTAATAATCATTTTCGCTATCAAATTTTTTGATGATGTATTATTTTCAAAATCTTTGTCCGGTTGTCAAAAATTGAATCGATACGTAATTGGTCACTTTCGTTACACATGTGCTACGGACTCAACGGTTTTCGAAACTGTTCCCTAGTTTTAAATGTAAAAATCTTGCTATTTTGAACGGATTATTTAGTGAAATCTTTCGTAATTTGGCAGCATCTTTACGATGAAATTATTGGAGTGGGATATTTTGTTTAAAGAATGTCAAAAGTAAATGACTTAAATGTAAGTTGGTTCGTTTGAATCGAAGAACTTAAATGTTTTTTTCTTCTTTTTTCTGCTCGTTACAAAATTTGAATTCGGATAACCCAATCTATATTCATATAAATTGCAAAAAAAAAAAAAGAGATGGTAAAAGGTTTCTATGTTTGCGATATTTTTATTTCTTTTGAAAAGAACAGAATTCGAATGAAGAGATATGTTGAAGAGAATATTTAAAATATATTTATTTTAAAAAAATTATGGTCATATCATAGGGAGATTTGCTATTTAAAATTCATGTTCGGGTATGTCTCATAACCTGATTTTAATTCCATGATAAATTAGAAAATGTAATACAGGATAACTAGCCTTTACATTATATAATTGTTTGATAATCTTACTTAAGTGACACAAATTTCCGTAAACGTAATGCCGCGATCCGTTGAAAACCAATAACAAACCACATTTACCATAATTTTGTTAATTTCGGAATATTACAAACTTATTTATAATGCGTATCATCATTTCATCATTTCAAAGATATTCCCGAAAAAAAAAGTATGATTTTATAGTTAAATTCTGAATGTAGTCTTTATTTCTTGGTTATCACATGATTCACGGTCGCAGAAAGTTTCCAAATTTATAACCACCGAAAAAATTTTTATATGTTGAATTGATTACTCCTGCATATTTTTAATGATTTTTTCAGTAAGACAAAAAATCTTATATTAGCATTATTAAGCTTTTTTATTTGTTGGACGAACATTCGGAAAACAGTAACAAAATTTTAAAATAAAAACTGGGTTCTAACCATTCTAACCACTTTTAAAGTAAAAAAAGTTTTACCTTTAACCAAAAATAATTTAATTATCTTTTTTTTTGTCGTATAAAAAAATGAGCGTCGGTACATATAATTACAGGAAAGAATCTCGCAAAATATCACTATCTTTATTGCAATCCATTGGGTTTCAAGATCAAGGTTTTGGAGATATCCTTGATAAATTTAGAATAATCAATAATAGACGTTTTCATAATGTCACTTCAAAATATTCATTCCCCAATGATGAAATAGAAATTGGTAGAATGGAATTATCTCATCTTTTGTTAAAAAATGCATATGGCAGTAATTTTTCTTCCCCAGTAAATGATAAATTAAGAGATGGAATTTCCGTATTAGATGTTGGGTAAGCATATATATCATTTAAATAACTAATTCATCGAAGTAAAAAAAAAAGTTCAAAACTTATTAAATTTATTAGATGTGGAGCAGGGCATTGGGTTATCGAAAACGCAAAAGACTACCCAAATAGTACATTTGTTGGATTAGACATGTCTCCAATTTTTCCGACAGAAAACAAACCAAGGAATGCCGGATTTATCGAATGTAATGTGCTTGAAGGACTTCCATTCCCGTCAAACACCTTCGATTTTGTACATCAAAAATTTCTTTACGCTGCCTTCTCTGAAAAGCAATGGTTACAAGTGATAAAAGGTAAAAAAATTTTTGCTTTTTAAGGAGCAAGATTTATTATGTTGTACTATAAAATTAAGAGTTTTTCGTTAAAAAGAAATTGCTAGGGTATTGAAACCTTCTGGATATGCAGAATTCATGGAGGTAGAACCTTACCCACTTAATGCAGGGCCTATTAATAAAGAAATTAGCGAGAAATGTAAGCACAATTTGAACAATATCAATTTAATGTTTAAAAGTATTTGACCTTATTTTCTAATATATTTTAGATGTTCAATATCATAAATCAAATGATTTATGTTTAGGAATAGCGTTCAAATTAAAAGATATGATGGATACTACAAAAAGTTTTGGTGAAGTTAAAATAGAAAAAAGAATTCTTGCCGTTGGAAAATGGGGAGGAAATTTTGGTGAATTGGTAAGAAAATTATTAATTACATTTAATTTTTTTGTTATAAGGATTTTATAAATATTTTTTTTTAAAAAAAAAAATTAGATGCTTATATACCTCAGTATGACCACTGAATCTAGTTCAGCATTGATGCTTGAATGTTCTAAACAAAAACATGATAAAATGTTTAAAACTTATTTCGAAGAATTCGAGGAATATAAGTCAAGCTTTGTTTATAAGCGTTTTTATGCACAAAAACGTCAACCTTTTATTATTACAGATTAAACGATGCAAATAATATAAATAATATTTACGTCACGACTATCACAAAAAATTAACAATAATTAAAAAAAATTAGAATATCGACGGAAAAAGTTCTTTCAAATTAACTTTTTATTTGATTAATTAAAAAATTTTTATAGATGTCCGATCAGAATTATATGTACAATGCAACATTTTCTTGTTTTTATACAAGATTTCGGTTATAATTGAACATAGAATATTTTAGTTGTAATATATTTTTTATTCTTTAAATAAGCTTTTTTATCCATCATATTAAAATATATTTTTCAAAATTTCCATTGGAACGGCTATTTTTAAAATGATCAGCAATTTAAAAGATTTATTTTACTTTTACAACTTTTTGACAATTTATACTCTAAAATACATATTCAAGAATGAGGTAGATAAATTGTAAAATATTCCAGCATCTCTGAAGTATTTTTTAGAAAAACACCCCGATCCGTATATGATCTGCAGAAAATTACTATAAATTCGGTATCACCAAAATTCACATGATGAAACCTTAAATGTCAAAGAATGACAATTATATTACATATTTATTTAAAACTTTACTATAGGGCAGCGTCAGATTTGACAGGAATATATATATGCGCATGTAAGAATTTCAAGTTATATACTATTATTATTTATTATTATTTGACAAATAAAAGCAATTAGAACTATATTTTATGCATTTTTATGCGTTATAATAAAATATTTATTACCTTTGTATTGTCACATGCTTCTAGATTTTTAATATTCATACTATTCATATTTGAATTCAAAAGGTTTAGATCCTATATGTTGGTTAGTTTTTATTTGTGCAAATAAAAAAATTTTTCCATCATATAATTCATACCAATTCTACCAATTCACAATTTTGTGGCAGAATCTTTTGGATAACAATATTATTAAGAAAAGTGTTGAGACAAAAATGCAAAAAAAAAAATATTGTACCTTTACCAGTAACAATAAGTAACATCCATTTTTTAGAGGATTCTGTATGAGTAGAATATTATGGGTTGGGTTTCTCAATTTTTCTCTATTTTTGAAATCTTTTCTATTTATGCTAAAGGACACTTCATCTATTCTCTAATTTCAAGCAAAACCCTAACATACATAAATCCTATATCCTCTCCTTGATCTGGTCATATCCATTTATGTAGATTTTTAATTCTAACTAGTATAAAATATGTAATTATTAATTCATAAGAATTTATAGATATCAATAATTTTCATAATGCAGTCATAAAAATCATAATATTTATGAAAATTCTCGTGAAATAACTGTTTTATCTCCTAGAAACTAACGCTTATGATAAAAAGTTTAATTCATTATTAGAAATTTAGTTTACTAATATAGCTGTATATACAAATTAAAAGTCTATTTTATAAAAAGTTTATTTTATTTCCTTTTCTTTTTACTTTGTTACATTCTCTTTTACTTTTTTATTTTCTCATCCATTTTTATTTTACTTCTTTAACCTTTTTTTTTTATTAAAATGCCTCAAAAATAAACTAATAAAAATCAGAAACTCTAACAAATCTTTAAACCCATTTTTAATAATACAAATAATCTTTAGACTTTAATTTCAACTTTATTTTAAACTAAAAAGATTGATTCTATTTCTCAAGATTTTTCAAACCCTATTTCTATTTTACAAATTTCTAAAATTCAAAAAAAACTTGATTTCTATTATCATAAAGCTATGATACTTAATACAAAAAAATTAACTTGAAATTAGGCTACTAAATTGAAGAATTTCGCAAAAACTGTAGTTATACAATACTTCAAGAGATCACAAATTCAAATAAATAACAGATTTGTGAATATGTTGCATAAATGTTTAAAAAAAATTCTGGTAAATGTAAAGTAAAAACTATAAATTAAGCTATTGATGCTATTAATTATCATTTAATAAAGGTTTCATCAATTCATAGAATTAATTTGTATGATAAGTATGAATTTTCAGATTTATAGGCTATATTACATAGCAAAATGAAGAAAGAGGATTTGGTGAAAAAGAAGAATCTATGGTGTTAACATTCAAAATTAACCTTACTACACTGATCATCAGTAACTAATAGAATGATGATATAATAAGCCTAACAAATACTGTATCAAATGATTTGCAAAATTCTGGATTTCCCTGATTCTTAGAATCCATAGAATTTTTAGGATTTACTGAATTTACATGATCATTATGATTTATTAGATTTTTCTAATTCCCTGTATTTCTATTATTTTAATTATTATTATTATTTTTATTTTATTATTATTATTATTATCTCTATTATAACTATTATAATTATTATTATTATATTAGTACTTGTAGTTACAAATTTAGATAGTTTATAGCATAGCAACTAGTTAGTCATAGCAAATTAATTTTGTATAAAAAGAAAAGCTTTTTACTTAAGTTGTAAATTAACTCTCTTACAAGTTCTTATAACTAAAAATGATTTCCATAATTATTTTTAAAATTTTAACTAGTTGTAACTTAAGTTGCCACACTTTGAGTTGCAACTATTTATAAATTTTTATATTAAAATAAATTTACAAGAAGTTGCAACTTCTTAATTATGATGCTCATCTTTACTTATAACTCTATTGCGAGTTTCAGTTTTATTACAAGTTTAAGTAATAATAAAAAAATCAACTTTGAAAAATAATTACTTTTCCTTTCTATATATCCATCATTTAGGATTTGATCATAACTACTATACTAACTTGCTTTTGAGTTCGTTACTTAAAATGAACAAATTCTCTATATTTTTCCCTAAATTCCTAAACCTTTAAGTTCGTAAAGTTAAGTGAAGTAATTCCAATACATTTTAGATACCTGTAGGACGTGAAATTCTCTAAGATTATAAAATTTGATGATAAGGAATTTACTTATCATAGTAAAGTAACTTAGTAAAACACATACAATAGAAAGAGAACTATTCTTAGTGACAATTAGGGTTGATAAAAGTTCTAACAAGTCCTAATTGATCTTAAAGAATTTAAAGATAATTTTAATTTATATACTATTAATTAAATTTTTTAATAATAAATTAATCTTTATAATAATTATTATATATCAATTATTTTATTAATTTAAAATAAAATAATTTTTTAAAAATATTAAATATACCAAATTTAGGATCTGGTCCTAGGATTTAGGTCTTAAGTCTAAAATTTCATAGATATTTTAAATTTTAAAAAGAAATTTAAACTTATTTTAATAAGTAACTTTAATTAAAAAATTGAATACAATGATAATATTTAAAAAAAATTTAATCTTTAAAATTAATAATTTTTTTAAAATTAATCAGGATCAATTATGACCAATTAGGATTTTACCAATCCTATTGATAATGACATTAATAGTATAGTAGATTAAGGAAATTCTTGCTGATGATTTTTTTAATTCTAATAACCCTGAAGATCTTTTATATCATGGATTTTTTCAAATTGCAACTAACTTTGCATTTTGTAATAATGAGCATTATAATCTTCATATAGATCAATTTCAATTTCTGCTTAATAATAGATTACTTTTTTGATGTACTCATAGCAAAAATAATTAACATGGAATTGAAAAGGTATTGCATAAGATATTTATCTTCTTCAAATTCAGAAGCAATTAAAAATATTAAAAAATATATATCAAAATGTTGTTATATCTAATTTGTAACTCAAAATAAAATTCACAAAAATTAATAATGCTAAGACTAAACTCAGGAAATCATAATAAAAATTCATAGTAAACTTCAAAGATTATTCTCAATTAACCACAAGTAACTTCTGGATATTTCAGAAATTACATTTTAGTGACTACACATTAAATTAATACAACGAATCAATACAATATTACGCAAAGTTAATAAACAAGAATAATATATACACAGGTTAAAGGATTGCGAAGGATAAGTTTTAACTTGATTAATTATATATTTTATTAATAGAATAATAAATTGTAAGTTTTCTAACTCGTAAGATATCGAGACTTAATAGAAATATAGTGATATTTATACATGTTTGATAATTATAAAATAAACTAAACTAATATTACTATGAAAATAAAATGACATCATTTAGGAAATAAAGTTGATAAAATTGATCAGCAAAAATAATCATATCAATAAAGTTGCCCATTGCACTGGAAAATAAAATTGATATTCAGATCTACAATCTTTCACATTGATTATCTTAGGATATAAAGTTAACATCAGGATTGATGAGATAATAAACAAAGATATTTAATTGATATTAGATTTGTAAGCAGATTTTAGCCAAAATTTTACACTGTTATAATATCCTAATAGTGCAACTAAAAATTTCTATTTACATATTAATCCATTTTAGTATGAAACTAATTGGTTAAATAAACACATTGGGGTTTTAATAGAGTAGAAAATTTTATAAAGATATAAGAAAATCTGTTAAAGTTGAGCTTTCATCTGACTTTTTGATAAATCATTCTAGTTGTAAAACTGTTGCTCAAATTCTTCAAGATGCTAATGTACTAAAAGATGTTATAATGGAAGTAATAGGTTACAAAAGTATTCAAGATATTCGTGTATATAAAAAAGTAAATAAAAAATAATATCTTGCTACTATAAATACTTTAATTAATACTATAAAACTATCAAAACCATCAATTCTTAAGGATTTAATAAGTAAAAATATAAATATTGATTTTATCTTAAAATCAGAAATTCCTTCTATTTTTTATGATAAAATACTAGAATTCTCTTCTAATGATATTCAAAAGAAATTACCAGTCTTTTACAACTGTTATTTTATTAATGTAACCTTTAAATTATAAAAAAGTGTAGTTTAATAGTTATAATAGTTAATAAAATATCATATTAATAATGTGTATTAATATTTTTATAAATATTAAAATATCACTATAAATAATCACAGGCGATCATTAGTAAATATGAAATAGTAAAGATGGTAACTGTAATTAATTTACATAAGTTGCAACTGTTTTTAAGTTGCAACTATTATA